ACGTTCTCTTTCGTGTCGAGTTTCAAGTTCTCAGTTCAATTTCCAAGTTCCTTGCATCATAAACATCTCCAATTGCTGCAGCACGATATCTGTTAATTGTCTGATATTTTTCAAGCAAAAACTTATATTTAGTAAAAGATTGTAAAATAAAAGAAAAAAGAAAAAACTAATGAGGGTTTCCTAAATTCATTTGTGCCAGATTTAAGCGTTTAAACAAATTATTTTTCTCGATTTATTGAAATAAAAACAACCAAATATATTATAATTAATTATTATTATTAATAAATAATAATAAAAACAACCAACAATATTTCATTTTTTTATTGTAAGGCAACTTATTTTGATTTGTTAAAAACTTATTTGATAAAGGTACCACTCAAATGGATGTAATATTTGATAGAGATTTGACTGGATCTAACAAACAAAAGTATTTCAACCTTTATTTATGTATTTATTGATTAAAGGGACTGTAGTGATTGCTGGAATAATTTAACTTTGTTTGTGTATATTGTAAAACTTTTATTATAATCAAATCAACAAATAAAATTTTTGAACGAATGTTTTTTAAAAAATTGTGTTTATTTGAAAAGTTCCTAAAATAATTATTGCCTAAAAAGGTATTATAAAGTATGAATTTACAATAAAAAATAAACATTTTATTTGATAAATGATAATGTTTGTTATAAGAATTGTGAAATTAAAAATCGTATGTTTATTTAATAATAAATTATTTATACATTTTTATTGTTGTTAAGATTATAAACTATTAAAGTAAAATTGGATTTTTTTTAAATAATTAGTATGAATTTTTTTTTTCAATTAAAAAAATTGATTGACTTTTGTTTATTTGTTTCATACTAAAAAAACATTAATTTTCAAAAATGTTAGTTCGTGACAAACTTGATTGGGTTGGGCTTTCTAGTGATTCTCTCTGAACCCAAGCATCAAATGGTGTTCGTCTTTCCACAAAATTGAACATTGGATAAACTACTTTCAGTGAGTGTTTTAAACTTCGACTCTCACCAATAATTGGATCGTTTTTTAAATCTCTCAAATGAAGGTACAGATTCTTTAAATTTTGCAACGCACCACCAAGAGCAACATGAACATGTTCTGCCTCAATTGGTTCATGAGGTATTCTATCTTCCCATAAAATGTAATTGTGAGCAATATTTTTGTAACAATCAAAAAGGGTTTGTCCGCTCATGATCGAAATAAGCTCTTTAAGTGCTATTTTTGCTTTTTCTTGTGTTGGGTCTTCTTTTACTTTTATCAGTTTAAGCCAAAACTTTTCGTGTTCAAATTCCAATTTTTGAAACACAGCTCTATCTTCTTCAACAAAAATGCGACCATTCTTGTATTTTTCTTGCAAAAGAGGTTGAATTTTTTGAGTTAAAAAAGAGCCTTCTTCATGAAAAAGAGAATTAATAACCTTTATACCAGCTTGTGTAAGTTTTTTGGATTTGAACAATGGTCTCAAAATGGGTTGATCATCATCTTTTAATCCATTAGAATAATAGACCAAAACAAATAAAATCATTCTTAACATCAACATTTTAATTTAAAGTATTTTTTAAAGTTCAACATTTTGAAATATGTAATTATAATATAAAATTTACAAGTGAGTTATCTAAATATGTCAATTCACTATGTCTACAAATACAATTTATTTTTAAAGTCTTTTTTTATTTTATTTTTCAAAATAACTAATAAAATTCAGTATTAAATTTTTTGGAATAATGATTACAAATAGAAAACTATTTCATTATAAATGAATTAAGGCAGTTTATACAATATACTCAACACTTAAAATATTATGTTGACAAATTTTCTTAAAATAGTCTTTTTTTACAAATTGTATAATTATAATTTTTGGTTGTTGACAATTCACAAAAAAATATATAGATAGTCTGAATAATAGTTTATAAAATAAAATAATTTGTTGGAAAATTTTGTTTCTGCAATAAAAAAGACATATACCATTCATATATATATATATTAAGTAGAATTACTTAATAATTAATAAACACAAAATAATCTTAATAAACCTTTTTACTGATTTCATATTTTAATTTCATTTTTATTAGTATATTAATTAAGTTAGTCAATTTTTAAACGTATTGTTTTTGCAACAAGCCTGTGTTGAAAACTCGTAATAATAAGTGAATTCTAAATTGATTTGTTATATTTAAAAATTAAAAAACTTATAATTATTAATAATTGGACAAATTAATAAAAGTTAATTATAAATACCATTAATACACAACATTTTTTTTATTTTTGTTGTTATCAAGACTTGAAATTACAACTATTATAAAATTGACAAATTATTTTTTTTAATTGATAAAAGGAATTACATAAACAAATTGACAAATAAAAATTTATTTATATCAAAAATGACAAATGTAACAATTTGTGTTGTTTTTGTGTTGGTTACACATGTAAGTTAAAATTAAAAATAAATATTATAATTATAAATTAAAAATAAACACTTTCTTAATATTGTACCACAAAGTTTGTTACAACAAGTGTTTTTGAATCAATGACCAAATAAATGCTGGTTTATTGAAATTGAAAATTTAGTAATAAACACTAATAATTAATTATACAAATTTGAAATTATTATTGATATTATTAAAATGTTATTGTCAAAAATACCCGAAACATTGTTGTTGATAAGAACCTTTAGTACCACTTATTTTAATTTAATTGGATATTTTCTATTTATATAATTATATATCAGTTTTAATGTTTTTCTTTACTTAGAAATGATTAAATAACACAAATAAAACATATTTCAACTTGTTATAATAAAATACTTTTATAAAACAAGTATTTATGCACAACAATGGTTTTAAAACCAGAATATCTTAATAAAATATAATAAAAGTTAATATTTGTCTTTCAATTGTCAATAATAAATATTTTATGTTTGTTTATAATGTGTTGATTAAATGTGTGATTTTGAATTTTTACAGAGTTAAAAAATTGTAATAGAAATATTGATTGTTTCGAAAAATAATTTGTAATATCAATCAATAAATTGAACTCGTATTGCCAATACTTTGAACTTAAAACACTCAAATTAAATTTAACAATTTATAGTTTAATTAATCAAGACAATTTACTTTATTTTGTCATTTTTTTATTATTTTTTGTTTTTTATAAATAATAAATTAATTAATTATTATTTAAAATTTTATTACAATTATATAATAAAATATTATTATATATGTATTATAAATTTATTATATATTTACTTATAAACCTTTTTATCAATTAACCACCAATTCTTCAAAAATTGTTTATTAAAAACAAAATTTATTTACATTACATTTTAATTGATTTTTTTAATTATTCCAACACACCATAAAAAAAACTTTTTGAAAACAAGAATTTAGGTCTTAACTTCCAACCCAATTCGTAAAAAAATCCATATTTTTAGCTCCACAAAAGCCTCGAAAACTTCAAAATCAGTTTAATTGCATATGTCTTCCAAAGTGACTTTGAAAATAGTAGTTTTAGGGGACAGTTTTGTTGGGAAAACTTCTTTAATCAATCAATTTATCAACCGGAAGTATTCGTGTGACTACAAAGCAACGATTGGCGTTGATTTATCAACACGTCAAATATCATTAGAGAATCAAATAGTGAATTTGACTGTATGGGATCCAAGTGGATCCGAGCGGTTTCGGTGTGTCTCTGATTCGTTTTTTAGAGGAACTGATGGGTGTGTTTTAGTGTGTTCTTTGACATCGAGCGAGTCGTTAAATTCATTAGACCAGTGGATCGAAGATCTCACACGATTCACTGGGAAAGATATCCCATTTGTGGCCGTGGCAAACAAAGCCGACGTCGACGAATTTGAGTGGCAAATCACTCAGAACAAATTCGAGGTGTGGGCTACTATGAAGAAATTCAAGTGTTTTTTGGTGTCAGCAAAAGACGCAACAAATGTGGAAAACGCTTTTTTCGAGTTAGCTGAGTTGGCACTCAAAAACACCAAATTTGCTCAACAGATGCAACCGTTTGTTTGTATAGTTATTTGAAGTCATTTTCTTTTGTTTTATAATTTAAAGTTAACATCTTCATTTTTACATTGAAGAAAAATCGTTTAAAATATAACGATTTTATTTTAGTTAAATGTATTAATATATTAATATATTATTAATATATATACTATACTTAATAGGTTTATTTTCAATCAGTTAATTAAGAGTTTATTTAATTATTAAATTAAAAATATTTTAATAAAACTAATTATTTGATTGTTAATTATAAGTTTACAATTTATGATTTTTTATATTGACTGTGATATACAAAATAAAACTTTATTTTTATTAAACAAGTTTAATTTAATTATATCAAATATTAAAATTATATTTGTGTGTCTGTATTTAATATAAGTGGTGTGTTTTATATAACAATTTAACTTTATATATTTTTTGAATAATATATAATCACAAATAGACAATCAGTGGTAACAACTATTGACTTGGAAGAACCAAAAATTGAGAACAAATCTTGTGGATGTTAATAACAACAAAGTATTTATACATCTTTTTTCGTGTTAAAATTTAATATTATTTTATATTTGTTTGAAGACCTTAAATTGTATATCTTATTTTATTATTTATATTAAATAAAACACTAGATTATATCATTACTTTTTGATTGTTTCATTTTCTTATATAAATGCTAAATTATAAATATAATGTGATATATTAACGTTATAAATTACTTCAAAAATAACAAATTTGTGATCATCAATGCATCATGAAGTAACTATATACTAAGTGTTAAATTGTTTTGAAGTAAGACACAAAAAAGATTTTTAATCAAAACAACGATTTTAATTGATTTTATCTTTTGATATATTTAAAAATTAAAAGAAAATCAAATTTTGTGTGAAATCAATCAATTTGAATTTTTTTGTTTATTAAAGTTTAACAATAAATTAAAACTACAAACCAATTTAAATTATTTACCATTAAAGTGATTTAAAAACGAAAACTAGTAAATAAATACAAATTGATAATAATCGATGGCTACTCAAACAATACGCGAAGAATTTGAATTTATGAGGATTTACGTGACTGGAGAATACCACACCGGTAGAAACCTTTTTTGTTATAAAATTACCAACCGTTTGAAAGGTGAAGAGGATTTTAATCATGATGCTGGTCTATATTTTCTTGAAGACTTTGTATTACTAAATTTAAATCGAAGAAATAAAAACTTAAAAATACAATATTTTAAAACTTGTTTGTTCTTTTTTTAAACTCAATATTTGTGTGAATAATAATGACAACTTATAATTTATTAAAAATGTAAAACAATAAAATGTAACCTATATATTGAATGTATATAAATTTATAAATATTAAACAATAACATTAAATATATGTTATTAAATAAATATTATAACTTTGAAATATATTTAATTTATTGTATTTAATATATGAACACAAACAATAATTGAATATACACTTTTAAGAAAATGGTGACTCATTTTAATAACATTTAATAATATTTATTATTATTTATTGTGATTTACATGTTATCGATATTTTTATTTATTTTTTTTAATATAAAAATGTAAATTCAATTTCAATAACTTAAAGATTCATCAGAAACATATTACCACTACCACCCAGACCGTTGTATAAGATACAGTGAAATGTATATGAAAGACGCCGTGCTTCTTTTATTCAATTTTCAAAATTTTGGGACGTTTGATATGATCGACCATTACATTGAATTAATTTTAGATTCGGTTCAAAAATTAAAGGAAAAACGTAACACAACGAATGAACCAATTTTATGTGTTGCTGGTAATTGGAGAGATAATTACAACGAGTGCAGAGTAAGTCAAAGGGAGTTCATCAAGAAGTTAAAAATGACCAAAGTGAGAATGTATGAAATGAGTGCGTTAAAGAGTGATGGAGTGTTTTATGTAAATGATGATATTATAAACAGTGTTTTGAATAAAAGAGAAGGTACTGAATATTATACAACAAACAAAACAACAACAGTTGTTCAAAACACAAACAACAAAAATGAAAATAAATCATGTCTTCTTGTTTATATTTTTTATTAAAAACTTATAAAATGTTATTTTATTACAATAAAAATGTTCTAACTATAATTTATAATTAAATTACACTTAACTCAAATGAACTAGACACACTTTAATTATAATACTTTAGAATAATTTGATATACAATATAACAATTTTAATTAGAATATAAATTTAAATATTATTCAAATAAAAATAACAAATAAAATTTGTGCTCTTATATAAATTGTAATTTTGAAAATTTAAAAAAAATACCTTTCATGTTTTTTTAAAAAAACTAAAAAAAAATAAATGGAAAGCCCGACACAAAAAGTTAATCTGTTATTAATTGGTGACCAAAATGTTGGAAAAGTTTTTGTTCTTATATTTAAACAAATATTAAAACGTAGAAATCGGTTATTGAGAGATTAATGAATGACACTTTTGTGGAAAACGGCCTATTAGAAACATACATGGGTTTTGTAACCAAAGTTTGTTAATATAACATCATAAATTAAACAATTATTTGTTACTAATTCCACCAAAAATAAAGTAACTTGATTTGTTAAATTAATAATTTTATAAATAATTATTGTAATTATCAATTATTAATCTTTTTCTTTAATAAAAATGTTATAAATAACAAATAGAAATTAATTATTGACAGAAAAATAATAAAAGTATTGATATTTGGTCCTTGTTTGTTATTCTTTCGACAATACTGTATTAATAACATTAAGATTGCGCCTATGATATTCAAAGGATGCCGAGATTTGAACATCAATGCGTGAATGGGTATATATTATGTTGTTCTTGTGATAACATCAATTCTGCACGAAACATAGAATTGTTAATAAAAGAAATTGACAATATAAAAGCACAAGACCAATTGAAGAATAAATACATTATAATGACAAAAAGTGACTTAGAAATAAATCAAGATGTATTGAAAAATATTGAAAATATATCAAAGAAGCATAACATTAACTTCTTCGTATGCTCTTCAAAAACAAACCAAGGAATCGTGGAGTTTATTCTTACTGTCGTGTGTGAATTACTTGAAAACGAATCAACATACAAAGAAATAAAACAACACCAAAGTGATGAAATTTTTCGATGTGCATGTGTTTAATAATTGAAATTTTATTAAACCATTTTTTATAAAATGAAAATATTTAATTTGACGTACATACGATTAAGATAATAAAAAAGTATGTTTTGAGTTATAAATATTATTTAAATTATTGATAAAAACTAATTCAATATAAAATTTATAATATTTATTGATTTATCACTTCATATTATAATATATTTGTTAAATTTTCGATTTCCACTTTAAAATTAAATAATTAAAGTTTGTTATCAAAATTAACACTTGTAATTACATTAAACAAAATTCAAGTTCCAAAAAACCAGAAATCTAAAATTTATAAAATACTTTAAACATTTTAAAGGTTTATCGTGTTCATAAAAACAAACGTGATGATAAAAAACTAAAATAAAGAGAAATATCCGAGTAAAAACTTGTCAAAAACACCCTAAAATTTTTAAATAATTGTTCACAAATAATTTATTTGTTTAAATAAAATAAAATGTGTTTTTGTTATTTAAAAAAATTAAAAAAACGACTGAAATCTTTTCAAAATTACTTGAAGCATCAAGAAAACTTATTTCTTGACGATACCTCCCTTTCTAACTGGCATAAACTTCTTCTTTTCGGTAACTTCTCTTTGCATGAACCAAATAGCACCTTGTCCACTGCCTTCCGCCTTCTTTTTCTGTTCTTCAAGATATGCTTCTGCCTCGGCAACTTTGTTGTTTGCGTCTTGGACAGCTTCTTCTGCAGCCTGAGCAGCTTCTTCTGCTTGTTTCTCTGCTTCTTCAGATTGTGCTTGAGCTTCCTCTGCTTGTGCTTTGGCTTCATTAGAAGCTTTCAAGGCGTTTTCTGCTTGTTGTTGAGCTTCTTCTGCTTGTGCTTTAGCTTCGTCTGCAGCATTTTTAGCGTCGAGCGCCTGTTGCGCAGTCGCTGATGCTTTTTCACGTGCTTCAGTAGCAATTTTTACTATTAATTAATTATCGTGTTATTATCAAAATGTTCCGCGTCATCAGTACAATACTGTGAATATAGTACTTTATACTAGTTGATATCATATAAATTATCATATAAATTATTATAATAATATATACTATAATATACTATATATTGATAGATATAACAAACCAGGCTTTGCCGCCTTTCTTTGAGCAGCTTCCAACGTCATTTTTGCTCTTCTCAATGGCAAGTCGTCTTCGTCTTCCAATTTTGCGAGTTCTTGAATAGCAGCATTCTTTGCGACTAAACCAGCAGTCTCGATTTTCTTCTTTAAAGCGACTTTCTTGTTTTCTTTGGCATCTTCTTGTGACTTGACTTCGTTCAAAGCTTTGGTCACTTCATCTTCAGCAGCTTGAGCTTCTTTCTGACGAGCAATGGCGACATCTTCGTCCTTTTTAGCAACGTCAGCAGCTTCACTTGCGACTTTAGCTGTTTGGTCAGCCTCTTCGACCTTCTTAGCAGCTTCCTCTGCCTTTTCTTTTGATTCTTCAGCCTTTTTAGTTGCTTCAGTTGCTGCACTCTTGGCTTCAGCAGTCTTCTTTCTCGACTCTTCAGCAGCGGCTTTGGACTCTTCGGCTTTCTTGGTGGCACTCTCTAAAGCAATGGTAACGTCTTCTAACATCTTCTTGGCCTTTTCAATGCCTTCGATGTTGCCCCCTTGTGGAGCGTTGACGACTTCCTTCCAGTCATACCCAAAGTGGAAAATGAGGAAATTGATCATCGAAATCTTTTTGAAGGAAGTCACACCAACTTTCCTCATGTGATTTCTCATCTCTTGGAAGGTCTGCTGGGCATTCAATTTCTCAAAAACTCGGTGCATGTTGACTTCATCAAGGCCACAACCCTCTTTGCCATTCTCTTGCTCTAATGAGGCAAAGAGAGAGACTAAACTCCATAACTCCTCAGCTCGGGCATCTTTCTCTTTGAACCACATCGCATTTAACATCCAGACGGCTTGGTCTTGGAACTTCTTCTGACCGATCGTCTTGAGTTGTTCTAAATCTTCTGCCATTGATTTTGAAAATATGAAGATTCATCTTAAATTAATTAATTCGGTTTTAAATTTGTTTACGAATCAATTTGAAGTTCACCTATTATTTTGAAGCAAAAATTAAGTTTATATTTTTGGTATATATTAATGTTAATATAGAAGAATTCTAATTTACAATTAATTTACCTTTTTTATTTAAAAATTTCAGTTGAAAAAGAAATAAAACAAAACCAATATATTAAGAAGGAGGTTTATTTATTAGTTTTTGTAGTTCATTGGAATTTGGTTATATTGTCCAATAAAAATCGGGAAATTTATTTTAAACGATTCATGGAGTTTACAACTTTATAGATTATTTATTAATATATTAAATATTAAAATCATGTTCTAATATATACATTTTTGATTCGTTTTTTATATTTAATAAAAACACTCGAGACTTTTGAGAAGTTTGTAAAAAAAATAATCAAAGCCAGTTTAGAAACCTTATTTATTTTGTTAACCTTATTTATCGATTATAATTGTTTGTTTTTTCTTTTTTTATAACTCAAAAATTACATGCAAAAACAAAAAACAACAATAAAATTGATTGTCAACGATTCACACTCTAATACAAAGAAACGAAGCTTTTTTACATCAACAAATAAAACTATTAATTTGGTACTCGACGTAAATAAAAAACAATTGTGATATTCAAAAACGTGTTAACGAACATGCATTAAACAATCAAATACAACGATGAATCAAAACTGTAAATGTGAATATAAAAATACAAAAATCAAAAAAATAAGTTGCGTCGTGAGCGTCGAGGAAAGAGGGTCGCGGAGTATTAAACAGCCAATTAATCAAGTCATTGATTTTCAAAAAGACTATAAAACTTTTTGAAGTTTGTTAGCAATAATTTCCCGTTATTTTGATTAAATTTATAACCCTTTAAACCTTGTTTATCGCTTTTAGATGTTTAAAAACAATTGGTCAATGGTCTTAACCTTATTTACGTTATTGATTATGTTATTGGTTAATTAGTTTAGGAATAGTTATATTTCTTATAATACTTTTGGGGTTTTGCTTTTTACTTAAGATAGGAACATTTTAATCTGAAGACAATATTAAAAAATTAAAAAAAAGTTTACAGACTAACTTTATAATTAAATACCTACATTATAAATACTTATTTAACAAACGGTATATCATTATATCAATATATTTAAATTTTAATTTTGTAGTATATTCATTCAAACATCATTCAATAATTACTTTTTATTATTTAAAAATAAACACAATTTTATTTATAAATTTAATATGTTAAAAAATTTTATACCCTCTTGATAACTAAGTCAATTTTATTACTTTTGAAAACCAATTGAACTCTATAATTGAATATATTTGATGATACTTCTGATAGAAGTTGCATTGTTTGCATCAATTTGTTTATCATTTGAACAACCAGATGAACCAAGACGGCATGGTTCACACAGAGAAAGGTCACACAAACGAAGTCATCACACATCATCGCGTCCAAGTACTTCTCATCACAGAACACAAGAAAGACCAACAACATCTACAAGTTCTCAACCATCCACATCAACAACAAGTGGCAAACACACACACAAAAGAAAACACACAACTCATGAAGACACTTCATCACAAAGTAAACATGAATCAAAAAGACAGAAATTAGAATCATCAAGTGAACAGCCATCCACTTCAAAACAGACTGCTCAATCATCATCAACACGAGAACATAAAGACGAACCACCAAAACAAATCCCATACCCGCCTTATACATATTTGTTACCAACAACTATAACATATTTGGAAAATCATAGAAAATGTCTTAGATATTATCCACTTAAAAAAGGAAAATACGATTTTCTTGTTCTTGTTCAATATTGGCCTGGCGAAAGATGTGCACATCAATTGTGTACAATTCCAAAAACAACAAAAAGAGTCAAGGAAAAGTTTTTCCTCCACGGACTTTGGCCGTCCATTTTTGCAAATAGGAATATATTTTGCTGTCGAAATAAATTCAGTTATAACAGTGTTGAAAAAAGATTGTTGAACAATCAAAAACTATTAAAAAGTGTACAAAAGCATTGGTTTTCTTCTGATAAATGTAAATCTTCTATGTATCAGTACGACAAACATGGTACATGTTCACTAACTACTTTTAGTGGAGGTGATGGACCAGTGGATTATTTCAACACAGCAATTAAAATGTATAGAAGAATTAATATTTGGAAGGTTTTAAGAAGAAGTAAATTGAAAGTAAGAACCAACAAATTGTATGACATCGAAAAACTCAGAGATGTAGTGAGAAAAGCTTATGGTGCTAAGCCAACATTTTTCTGTAAGGAAGGAACATCTCTTTATGAGATTAGAGTGTGTTACGATCCATCTAAAAAAAGACTTAATCCAGAACCTATAAATTGCCCCAACAAATTTATAAAATTTGAAGAACAATCATGCCATAAACGCGTAATGCTAAAAGAATTTCCCGGGTATTTACTTGACCCATCAATAATTCCCAGAAATAATTGCGAATATTAATTAAAAATTGTATTGTTTTTTTTAATTAACAACATAAAAAAAGTTTATAGTAATCAACAAAATAAATTAAATCTATAAATAAAAATACAAATTGATTTTTTAAAGAAAATTATTACTATTATTTATTATAAATAATGTATCTATTGATTTTAATATCACCCATCTAAAATTTATCTAATTAATTTATTATTATTAATTTATTATTGAAAATTTTATTTAAAAAAAACCTCGAAATAACTTATAAATAAAATATATATATATTTTTAAATCTTCAAAACTATAAGATATTATATTATTGTAAATGCTTCACAAAACACTTGATGATATTTTTCAACTATGTTTAGAATCAAAAACACTTTTGAGCAACTATTTTAAAGTAAATAAGGTTGATGATTTTATAGATGACACGACTCTTCCTCTTTCTGATAGAATTAATAACGCAAAAACAAGTTATCATAAACTGGAAAACTTAATAAAAAAGCGCAATGGAATATCCAATTCTGTTGATTTGGTTCTCAACAAGTTGTTATCTTTTTACAACACACTAAAAGAACAATTTTTGACCTTTCAAAAAAATGAAACAGAACATTTAGATATTTATGACAATAAGATTGTTGACATTCTCACTGCACTTTTCCAAGAGGAGTACATCACTAAATCAGCTCCACACATTAAAGAAGTTCAAAAATTAGAAGAAATACGCAATTCAAAAATAGCTGATATAACACAAAGTTTCAAAGTTGAATGCTCGAGGAACAAAATTGTTATTTCTGAGCCACTAAAAGAATAAATAGAGTGTTTAGAACACATTTCAAAAAAGAAGATAAAAAGTGTTATATTTGACTCATCTAATTCAAAGAAAGGGTTTAACGTTTCTTCCTTCATTGAAAACATCGTCAACAACGACAATTTGATGTTTTTAATTGAAGATGACAAAAACAATAAATTTGGAGGGGTTTTGTATGATAAAGTAATAAAAGTGGGAGAGTGGGTGGAGAGTAACACTGCCTTTGTTTACTCTCTTGTGAGAAACGGAAAATTGAATCCAAAGAAGTTTGAAATTAAAAAAGAATGTGTGGAGTATGCTTTCTTATTAGAGAGAAGTCACGGAAGCGCGTTGTTTCAGTTTGGCTATGGGTTCTTTGGCGGCCATGATATAAGTATTAACAAGGGTAATCTAAATCAATCGGAGTGCAATCCCAAAAGTTATAAATTACAAAATGGGGATCTGACAGATGAAAAATATTTTAACGCTACACGAATCAGAGTTATAAAATTGAAGTAATTGGATAATAATTTGATAATTGAAATAGTTGATATATAATCAGTCTGGGCATTTTTGGTTCATAAAAGCCAAAATATTTTGAAAATATATAATTAACACTTTAAAAATGTTGCTTTATAAGTTTAACCGAAATTTTAAAGAATGTACTTAATGTACATTCTTAACAAAATTTGTGTATTTTTGATAAACTTACAATGTATTTATACAAACATTATATTTTTTCAATTTTCGGTACTTTATTAATTTATAAGAAAACCAATTTACAATATTATCCTTTTTAAATTTTATTTTGTTGTTTTCTTAAAATGTTGCTGTTTAATAATATAAATAACAACTTCCTAACCTTCAAACCAAAGACTGTTTTAATTGTTAATTTAAAAATTTGGAATTATAACAAAAAATAAAACTTAACACTTTTAGATTATTATTTGGTCTATTTTTGTTGTTAAGATTCACAGATTATAATTATTGTTATTTGGTTTTATAAAAGTTGTTGAAATTGGTTAAATAACACTGTTTTATCTTACATTTTTCAATTTTTACAACACTTTATGTTTATGCTGTATTATATTTGGTATTTTTAACAAAAAATAATAAATAAATACAACTTTCATGTTATTAAAGTTTGGTTGTTTTCATATTCCATTTCAATGCAATATAACAAAAAATGACAAAAAATTCCTATATGTTAATAGTATTTTCTTTTCCACAAAATTCGATGTTAATTATCCTTCCCAATATATCACATATTCTTTTCGCGGCAACTCTTGCCTGATACCTTTTAACATCATTTCCTATGTAAAATTTGACTTTTTGTAAAGATTCCCACCCATTAAATTCGAACAAAGAGTCCATCCCCGTGTTATTGAAAGAGATGTTTTCCAAATCAAAATTGCCTTTTATAGCACAGTACTTACAGTTTGGCGCAATTTGGAAATACAAACTTGCTCTACTTTTTGATGTATTTATCAAAACCAAATGAACCTTTTTGTGTGTATTTATGACAATTCGTTTGATATTACACTCGATGTGAATCACTGTCAAATTTTCACAGCCGTTGCATCCAACAAAGTCAATTGGGTTATCAGATTTTGACATAACGTTGAGAACTTTTAATTCATGTAAATATGGATTTGACATCACTGGAAGAACAAGTGACACTGCGACCGACTTCTCAAAGAGGAGTTTAATATTATCAACACTCGTGTACTTTGAAAAATCGATCACTTTCGCTGTGTTGTCTTCAATTTTAAGTGAAATTTTTGTTGGAGGTTTAGTAGGAGTAGCTTTGAGGTATTTTAATTTATACATTTTCTCGGGGTTTAAAGTGTTTAAATCAAGTTTTTTGATAGTAATTGGGCTTATATCTAAAGCTTTTTTCACATCTGTGAACACTGTGTTTATTTTTAATTCTTCTTCTGAATTTGCTACATGTTGAATTATTTTAAATCTTGTATTTAAACAGTCTGCGATGTCTATGTCGTCATTGTTATAATTAAGCATACCGATAAACACTTCTGGGTTTGTTGCTGCAAATTGCAAAATGTTTAACTCCAACTTTTTGTCTGTGCAATTTTTCACTATGAATTTTTGAAGTCTGAAAAACTTCACATCCGGGATAGTTAAGTCGTCGTCTGTATTAATAACGACCTTCCTAACATTTCTACACTTTTGAGAAATAAATTGCAAACTTTCTATGTTCACTAAAATGGTTATGATTTTATTTAAAATATTTAGAGAATATGCTTCTGGTAAAGTAAGCGTGTTTGAGCAGTCTATCCACGTAATTTGGTCCAATTGAATTTTTGTCAGGGAATGTTGTAAAGTTTCCAGGTTGCCAGTTAGAGTGTTAAGATGTGGAAAGAAATTAAAAAGAAAATCGTAACTATAATAAATAGAACGTGGGTTTATTTTTAAACATCGGATTGCGTCTTGTGCCTTCTTGTTAACTTGACGAAAATAACGAAGTGTTGTTTCTTGCTGAATGTAAAGCAACACATTTGTAAGATAAACCATCTCAAGGCGAGTATTCATGTTTTTTTATTTGATAATTTTTAATTTTTAGAATGTCAAGATTCAAAGCAATTATTTATATTTGTTTGTTATTTTTATCAAAAAAATAACAAGAAATTAAAAAATTTTGATATTGTGAAATAATAAAGAGTCAGTTGTTATCATTGTCTTATTTACAAAAAAAATAAACAGTTTTTTTTTATAAAAAGGCAATTGGTTTATTTTTTAAACCGATAAATATTAAAAAATTATTTAATTGTGTTATGATAAATTTTCTGAAAAAAAATATTTTTATATTGGTTCGACAATTGCTTAACAACGTTAAATAGATGACTCTATATCGATTATATAATTCAATCAACACTCTCAAGAGCAAGTGGGTATGGTTATTTTTGTTTTTTTAAATTGCATTTCATCCAATCAAATTATACAAACAACTCAATAGAATTCTGATATTTTGGGTTTGAGTCAAAATGCCCATACAAAATGAGTAAGAGTTTTGACCGTAAACATCAGAAACGTACGTTTGATAAAAACAATGTTAAAAACTGTGACCAAAATTTCATATTTAAAAAACATTTACTTTTTAATTCTTCAAAAAAAGACTTTAAAACCACTTTTCCATTTGAAATGAAAATTCGAAAACGTCAATATTAACTTAAAGTAATAAGTAATAATAAGATAAAATAATATTATATGAATACTTTTTTATAAAAACACACCAAATAAAAACATTTTAATTGTAAAACTATCAAGATTAAATGAGCAAGTGCCTCGTAATTATAGATGTTCAAAATGATTACATGTCGACTGGCAAAGTGCCCTGTTTTAAAGCAGAAGAAACCAAAGCGAAAGTAATAACTCTTGGGAAGCAATTTATAACAAATAATTATCACGTAGTTTTAGTTCAACACGTTGCGCCAAAGGGTGCTCCCTTCTTTGAGGAAGGCACAGATGGTGACAAACTTTGTGAAGACCTTGTTTCTGCGTTCCCGGAGGCAAAAGTTGTCAAGAAGACGCATGCCAGTTCATTCATTGGGACCAACTTAAACACAATTCTCGGAGAATTAAAAGTCACTGAAATTTATACATGTGGGCTATTGACACAAAATTGTGTCCTCTTTACTTGCCTTGATAAGGAGGCACAGAAATATCACCCCAAGATGGTTGTCGACTGTGTCACCTCAATTACCGAGTTGGTGAATGCAATTGCGATTGGTGGGTCGTCTGATTTTGTTTCACAAATCACTTCAGATAAAATTTTTAATTGAAATTTATTAATTGGGGGTTCTATTTTAATAGATTATCAAGGATATCATTTACATTAATCAAAACGGATTAATATGTACTATAAAACCATGTAAAAGGTTGGAAAATAATTTGTCTTGTTGTAATTACAGATGGAGGATAAAGTCAGTGACAAAGTATAAATAACCCATTTTTTTCGAGGATATTTTCAGTTAAATGTTTTTTTCTCTATTGGTATGGGTTATTAATCCCAATAAATGGATGGTAAAGGTAAAGTAGGTGACGACACACTTTTGCTATTTTTTCGTTGTTTTCCAAAAAACTGAGGGGAAAATAGACCAAGAATTTTAATAACACAAAAAATGCAAAAGTGTATTCAAGTTTTTCAGAAAAAAACAATCTTAATAAAAAAGAACTTAAAAAAAGGAAAACCAAGATTCAAAATAAATAGAGACTCAATTGAGACCCTCCCAGTCACTGTCACCGAGTTCAAAGGTTTCCAACGAGTTCGGTTGGAAATTGTTATGGGGGAATAGTCTCGTAGTTTCATTAGAACGGGTTGTTCTCCGTATAATCTTACTATTCTTGAAAGAATGGGTTCGTTTAAAGTTTCGTTGGATGGATAGAGGACAATGGACTCTGCCATTGCTTTGATGTGGCAGACCTTTGTTTTGTTTGTCATCCTTTTTTGCTTTGGGTCAAGGTCTGCGATGTTAATGACATTAACGTCGTTGTTGGGAGCTGTGAGTTTTGTCATTGTTGTTTGGTTGGGAAATACTGTTGTCTGGAAAAAAGTCTGAAACTCTTCAACAAGTCTAGAAGCACTTTTTATATCAATGAAAAGGTGGAAAGAGCCTTCAACATAACGAGAAACCATTCCTGCCCTCTGAAACGACGCGATAATGGTCTCATGTGTTGCTGCTCTGTCGATGCTTGACAGTATTGTGGTAATTGTGTTGGTAAGTCTTTTCCCACTTTTTATTCTCTGTCCTCTCTCGAATTGCGTCTGTTGCCACGTTATTTACATTTGCTAAATAACCAATTATTTCTCGAATTGCAACATTGAGATTAACTCCTTGTTGTTCACCTCTGTGTTCTAATAAGGTATTTGGAACGATTGGGACTGTGGAAGGTGTTGTTGGTGGCAATGATCTTGTCAATTCAGAAGATGAAACAGAGGTTTTGAAAAGGGGAGTTCTGTTTGAACATTGTTTTTTCACTGAACAGAAAAGGCACAGATCCAAAGGTTGCACCAAATGAGAACAATGTGGTATATACTTGTGAAGCTTGATGTGTGATTGTGCCAATTGTGTACTCAACTCATCGTAATTGTGTCCAGAAAAACCGTCGATGGTGATCAGTGCAGGCGCGTCTGGTGGAAGTCGAAGTAAAATTCTTTTGGCTTTGATGTATTCAACCACTACATTCATCATCCAGTTGCAGAAGATTTCCTTGGTTGCAAATCCCGTGTTGTTGGTGAAAAAGGTTGCATCAGAAAACGTCGACAACAGCTTAATGTCAAGCCTTTTATTGGTCACTACAACACCGGGACACGCTGTAGTGCCATTCAAACATATCATACAGATAATAGTGGATCTCTTACCACTTCTTCCAACACCAATCTTAATCCTTTCAACGTCAACATTTTTGGGAACAAGCACTCTGACGGTTTTCTTGTCGCAAAAGTCTTGAAAACCAACTTCATCGATGTTAAAGACAAGACCACTATTTATATCATTAAAGTCTTCCATCTCCATGTTATTCGTTATGATGTCCTCGGGGTTTATTGATAATCGTCCGATGTCTTCCGGTTTCCCTTCGATTGTTTTGAGGTCAAATGTTTTGAGAACCCACTTTCTCGCTGTATCTGGTTTAAACGTTGTTCCTTTTGTTCTTTCAACATGTTTAGAGAATGCTGCATATGTCAAGGCTATTTTTGATTATTGCAATATTGAAAAAATGTGTCAGCTACAAATTTGGTTCTTTTGTCAAAGAATGAAGGTCTTTCCATTGTTGTCCTTCTTACAGTTGTTTGTTCTTTCTTGTATTCGGTAATTTCCTTTTGAATGAGACTTAAATGTGAATTGAACAAAATTCCAACTGATCTATAGGTGACTAAAGACTCTCCTCTTAGAATTGAAAAGACTGTTGCTATTTGCTCCCTTCGGGTTTCCAAGCTAAAAAACAATTCATCAAATATAAAGAATTGCAATATTTGTTGTGCATTCAAAACGTCTTTTAAAGAGAATTTATTTGATTGATTGACTTCTTTTAATTGTTCTTTCACGCTTTCAACATTGTGTGTCATTTCTTCATAGTTCATAACTCCTCTAATCATTTTTTGCTTTTACCAGAGCCCAAATCTTCTGGGAATTGCTCCAGAAAGCGACAAGAAAGAATGTCCGCGGGCTTCAAAGGCATAACAATATGAACATCATTTGGGGCGAGAGGATTGACAGGTAGTGTTGGTTCAATTTCCATGTAATAAAAAGGTTTTTTACAAATTTTTATTTTAATTTTTTTGTTATTTTGTTTTATAAAACATTAATTTTTGTCACCGACTATATCCTTGTCAACTCTTTTTTCTTCTATCTGTAATTTGCTAATTGTTTCAATGGTAAAATAAATTAGATTAATTATACTTTAATATTTATAAAATTTATTCAGATCAGACCTATTTTTTATTTTATTTATTTGATTGAATTGTTAGAACAATTACCAACAAATGAAAAAATTTTGATGTTTCTTTGGAAATTGATATTTCGATTTTATCGCCACCAACGAAATGAAGTGCAGTTCTATTTACTTCTTTTTTAATGATGGTGTTATTGCTGTGAAATACACATTCCATCCGTTCATATCAAAAATAGTTGTTGTTTTTCTTTAATAAAAATTTTGTGAAATAAAAGGCAATGAAAATGAAAAATACAACACACACAATCAAGAAAAGAATCACCAATAAAACAATCCATCAAACTACATGTGATTCAAAATTTATTACATCTTCACTTAGAATATACAAGAAGTTGCATTTAAAGTATTTGGAATAACGGCCTTCTTTACAACGTTTAATTTTTGAAACATAACACAAGACTGTTTTGATAAAATGTAGTTTTGTACACACAAAGTTCATCGACCAGTATCTATTACAATCCACATAATCGGACGTTTTGAGCCACATGAAGTTCGATGTTGTTTGTCAATAAAAAAGCCATCATTACATATGTCACACCACTTGGCAACACTCTGTTATTTGAAATTTTCCAAATGAAAAACACATCTTGTCGAATTGGTCAACAAGAAATGGTCAAATGCACAAATTAAACTGTGTTACGATATTCACAATTGGAAATAAACGGTTTACAACTGAAATTATCTCTGTAATATTTATTTATACAAACGGCACATCAACGTGAAGTTGTTCCCATAATTATATTTTACAGTTTTTTGTTGTTTCTTTTAAATCAATACACATGTTTGTGTTCTCTTTTAAACATATCCATTTTACATAAATTACAGACCATTTTATGATTATTTTATGTTTTAGATGTGTCAAGAAATTTTAATTCAAATGATTGTAACTTGTTTTCTAAACAATAAACACTACAATTATTATTACAACTTGAATATATTCCATTAATATTGAGATAATATTCATTTACACAACTCAAACGAAAATTGTTTGTTACTTTGATAATTTCACAATTTTTATTGAATTTATTAAAATTTTAAACAATTTAGATTTAAACCAGAAGACATGTTATACCATGTATACCCATGCAATTTTCTGGTTTTGCAATGAATGCATATATTATTTTCATTAAAATAAAACACGTCGGACATTCCATTGTTTTCAATGTTAATTTGTATATTGCTTGATTCTGTAATTCTTAATTTTTGTGTTATATTAACACAATCTCCACTCTCTGTAATTTTAAAAAGATTACTTGTTTCAATTATCAATATAAAGTTTTTATTGGTATTTGTGAATGTGACTGCGATATTGCTATTTTCACTTATCAAAACAAAAGTTCCAACTGGTGTTGTTGTTGAAAAAACGTCAAAACAATTTCATCAACATTTTTAGTCATTTAAAGTGTTGTTTCATATGACGTTATATAAATCAAACTTTTCACACCTTCATTATTTTTGCACTAATTTGATAGGTGGAAAGAATTTCTTTTTTATTGAAAATGTTAACTGCGTCTTTATTAACAGAAATCACCTTATCTTTTGTAATTTTTAATGAATCAATTGTAAACTGATTATTTGTAAATTGGACTACAGCAA